AATACCACCAAATGGAAAAAAGTAAATGTGCTGCTCCGCTACTCAGATGCAATAGGTTTGTCGAGCCTTGGTTTTTAGTTACAAAATTACAACTAAAGATGGAATAATCTAATTCATTTTCCAAGCAATTCTTCCATTGGAACTGCTCACTCTTAACAAGGCCTGTACTCTTTTGGGGTTGGGGGAGAGACAGCAGAAAGAAGAGGAAAGAAGTTACCAGAAAATTACATTTGCTCTGACTTATTCTGATTCGGTCACAGTGTGTATATATAGATGTATAAATTGATAGATTTATAGATGTCTGTGAGATATCAATATTAAGCTGCTGATGAGAAAATATTAGAATGAATTTTGTTTCAGATCTGAGACTACTGGATGCCCTCTGGCTTCTGAAGGTAATCACTAAGACTGAGTGAGGTGGAAATACAGCCTTAAGGCTTCATGCGTTTAGAAAGAGGCCCGAAGTAGACGTGGGCAGTCCCTCAAATCCAATTTGTACCCAAATTGGCCGGTAGGATATACAAAGCTCCATCCAGGGACTTTCAACTTGCATAATACTCTGTCCAAGAACCCCTCCCCCTCCATTTCATCTAGTAGCAGTTCTAAAAAGAAGCCATTGCTGAGACAAATGTGGGCTGCTGAGTAAACAGTGCATGTTTTGTTGAACAAGCCTACCCCCACACCTATATATGGCACTATCTCACCACAAAGTCCAATTAAAATTATTAACAGGAATTCAAACTCACTTTCCCCAAAATTGCAAATGACCTTTTTCATTAGGAAGAATAGATCTTTAATATGATTATATTAAACTATATTCTATTTATTCCTACACAAATATCCTATTTGGGGAGACTTGCATTCATGAAATCCTGAAAATAATATAACACGTTAATTTGCATGCAAAACATTTTTCCAGTCAATATAAGCTCCTGGCACATAAAATCAGATCATTACGGCTCTCATTAGCAGACCCCAGTTTTTGCTATTTGAAAGTAAACAGAAGAAAAACTTATTTTCACCTGCTAAAATTTTATGCAGGATTACAAAACAATGCACACTCAGCTTTAACCTAAGAAACACCTTAAAACATTAAAAATTCATCAGTCAGTGCTGGTGTTGTATTCAAGGAATGCTCCTCTAGTTTGCTGCTGAGCTTGGATTTGAATAAAATGCCCAATGTTAACAAACAATACCCACGTTTGGCACTTTGTGTATTAAATTGATCAAACAGATTTTAGGAGGCACAATGCACAATTTGTACAGACCTGATTGAGTTAATATAATATCAGCAAATTTTACATCGAAATGATTCTGTTTCTTTTCTTTGTGTTTAAAACCAGCACAGATTACAAATTTTAATGATCTGAAAATGTTTGGTATACAAAATCATGCTTATTTCAGTATTAGCAAAAACACAAGAAATTTTTCAACACAAACACCCAGCTGTGTCTATTTTAAAAGCAGTTCAATGACAGCTTGCACTTATGAGCATGCAATCAGCTAATTTCGCTTTTTTTTTCTTCTGTGTTAATCAACACTTTCCTTCCTGCATATCAGAGTACAAATAGTATAGTTACTCCACATCAGTAAATGTTTACGTAACCTGTCCTTTCCCAAGAATCCGGTTACACCGAATCATTTCACGCTAGACCGACTACGAAAACGTACCGGGCCGTCCACCTCAGAGGGAGCCCTTGTGTGCCATTATAAGTGGCAATGAGAAGGGGGGTTGTAGGGGGGCAGAAATGGGGAGGAGTAGGTGTAGGAATGGAGTGAGGGAGAGGAATAGAGGGAGGAGAGGGGGTAGGGGAGTGAGGGGGAGGTGGGAGGAAGAGGGGAGGAGGGAGGAAAGCGAGTTGAGGAAAAGTGGGAATAACAAGCCTGAGAAGGGGAGAAGAGTGGGAGGAGGAAAAGTGAGCAGGAAGAGGAAGGCCCATAGATCTCTCCTGCCTGGTCCGAAAAGCCCATTAGCTCACCGGGCTCTGTAAGAAATCAGAGCTTAGAAGTCAATGTTGGGGGCCATGTCACTATCAACGTTGGTAGCTGAAACCCTTGAATTTTCCCACATGTAAATACAGTTTGTTTTAAAGAAAATATGTAGAAGTAGGGGGGAAATACATACAGTGGAAGGATAGATGAGGTTAATCCAATGTTCAAAGCTCCTTTATAGCATTCCTAATAGAAATACTTAAAAATCACTAGCTATTTCTAATTGTTAATCTCTTCAAGTTTATTCTCCTCTCTCAGAATTTCAAGATGGGGGTGGGGTGGAGTGGAGAACATGGGATAACTCCCTATTAACTCGGGTATTCTTCATTTGTATTCTTTATATTAGAATTGAAATTTAACATCACACATAGGCACCGTTGTTTCTTCCTTCGTTTTTCTTAAATACCAAATCTGCCAGGTAATTTGAGCTTGTCAAAAGTGAATGTTTACATTTCATGATGAATTACCTTACAGAGGAGGAAAACGGTGCTTTTCATTTATGCTTCTCTTGTACATCCCTCTTCTCTCGGGCTACATCCTCCATAAAATGTGGTATGTTTCGTGCTCATGTGGGATGAAGCAGCCTTTGATCAGTGTGCTCCGCACCAAATTCCAATCCCTGGGAAATGCTGGGCCTTAGCCCTGCCCCTGGCCACGGGATCCTTTTAAAGCCCCCGAATCACAATCTCCCCACTCACTTCAGCCCTCAACCGAACCTTCCCAGTCCTAAAGCCCAGGAAGCTGGGATTGTGGGACCCACGTTCCCAAGGCTCCCGGCATTCAGGGTGGGAAAGGGCTGACCTCAGCATCTGGTTATCTCAGGATTAAGGCCCGCACAAATTAAAAGCATTTCGGAAACGGAAAGGAAAAAAAGGAGTGAAAATAGGAAGGCTTTAACAAACCGGAAAGAAATAGACGCCCACCCTTATTTTCCCTCCAATGTCAACAAGCAAAACGAAAACATTTCCAGGGTGATCGCTCGCGGCTACTCGCTTCCAATTCGGATTAGAAACTGAGGAGACGCTGGAGCGGCGAGGAGAAAAACGACCACGAGTCACCCAGCGCGTGAGCGACGGTCCGGAGCAGGAGAGAGGAGGAAGGAAGAGACACATTTGTATACAGCATGTGTTACCTGGTTTATTTCGAGATTGTTTGGTATTGTTTTCTCTCTGAGCACCCCTCATTTCGGAAGGCCATCATACGCGCCCACCACTGAGCCGCCCCCGCCCGCCGCCGCCGCAGCGCCGCGAGCCCCAGGCCCGGCTTCTCCACGGCGCCCGAGCCCCGAGCTCGCCGCCACCCAGGCCGCAGGAACCGAGTAAGTAATCCCGGTTTGGCCCCGCGCTCGCCAGCCCACTTCCTCCTCCTCACCCCGTCGTTTCAAACCTCTCCCAGACCCTCCTCCCCCCCAGGTACAGGGCACCCCTCCCCACGCCAGGGGTGGGCCTTCCCTCCCCAGCCACCCGGAGCCTCGCTGTAGTGTTACCTACAAGGGGCACAATTTTTCCTGCGGGCTCTGAAATGCCGGACCTGACCTGCAGAGCCAACCCGGGAAAGTAGTGCCTCGCCTCTTCCTCCTCCATTTCCTGCCCTCTCCTTGCATCCTCTCCCTGCGCTCCCACTCTCCTCTCCACCACCGTCGTCGCCGCCGCCCCCGCTTTTAAAAATTAAATTGGATACCAACTTTAATAAGGACAGACACAGACGCGCAAACGAAAATGACCCGACGCAGTGAGAAGGGAGGCGGCAATGGACGATATCGGCCCTGAGAGGGGAATTTCGGTTGAGCGGCCCCGCCGGGCCGAGGGGGCGCAGGGGGCGCACAGAAGGGCCGCGGCGCAGCGTGCTCCC